CACTTAGTCAAGAGGTGTTATTCCCTCCCTAACTTCAGGGCAAAATCCCTACCTGGGGAAACAACCTTTCTAGGAGAGGTGACCTTGGTTAAAACACAGCGCCAAGAAGGTGAGCAAATATATTAAGAACAGTATGCCATATGTGCCAGGTCCCTTGAAACAGCAAGGATGGACCGGCTCCCGGCATTAAGGCACTCACCATAATTTTTCATTTGAATCTGTGCTGTTGTATTTAGCATACTATTTCCCCCTTTACAGTTTTAATCTTGAAACTAATTCCACCTATAATTATTTAAATGCCACTTTCTTCCTGAAGCCTTCACATTGAATGTCCATTCTTTGAAATGCTGTAGAACTTCACATAAGCACCCCTTAGCTACTTGTTCATATAATACTTTGTATTTTTAGATGATGAGTTAAAACAACTTATTCATTCTTCTTTGTCTGATATGTGCAAGGCACTGTATTTATATATCTTAGTTATAAAAACAACCACTATATTTAGAGTATAAGAACCTTACTGTTTCAAACATTTCAATTCATGCTGTGAAGTACAGCATACTCAGACAGACATAAGCCATGTTAAAGCAACACTCTAATGTGTGTTAACTAGATTTTGCTCATTTTAGATACTAGAATGTTTATAATTTAAATACAGTAATTGTAGAAATTGTGTATTAATTACTTATTGCTGTATAATAAATTACTCCAAAACCTAGTGGCTTAAAAGAACAAATACTTACTATCTCAGTTTCTGTGGGCCAAGGATTCAAAGTAGCTTAGCTGGGTGGTTGTAGCTCAACATCTCAAAAGGTTGCAGTCAAACTGTTGGCCGAGACCAGTCATGGGAAGGTTGCTTACTCACGTGGCTGCTGGCAGGCCTCACTTCCTTGCCACATGAGACTCCATGAGGCTGCTTAAGTGTCCTCATGATGTGACAGCTGGCTTTCCTCAGAGTAAGTGATCTGAAAGAGTGAACAAGGAGGAAGCCACAGTACCCTTTAAGACCTACTCTCCGAAGTTGCACATCAACACTTTTGCTTTTTTCTATCCATTCAAAGTGAGTCATTAAATCCAGCTCACACTCAAGGGGAGAGGGATCAGGCTCCACTTTTTGAAAGGCGTGTTAATTTGTGGGCATTTTAAACCACCATGGTGTTTAATATAAGTATGTTCACTGAAGCAAAGTTGGAAAATATGGACACACAAAAAAGAAGCACTACTCAATGGATAGTCATTCCTTGGGTGTATATAATGCCAGTCTTTAAGATACATATATTTTCTCAAACTATAAACATACTATGTGTACTATTTTGTAAACTGCTCTTTCATTTAGCATATTGTTAAGATACTTTTCATGTCAAATATTCTTTCATAACATTTTAAATGGCTGCATAACATTATATCTATGTACTAGCAGCCTGGTGCACAAAATTCATGCCTGGGTAGGGTCCCTAGGCTTGGCAGGCAATCAGAGCCAATCAGGGCCTTCAGGTTGCCGGCAGGGCCTTCCTTTTGTTCCACACCTCTCCCTAGTGGTCAGCACATGTCATAGCAAGCAATCAAACTCCTGGTCTCCTGGTCAAACTCCCAAGGGGACACTTGGCAAATTAGCCTTTTATATATACGTTGAGTGGCCAGATTATTATGACCACCTGACATTTGTAGGCAAATTAGCTATAATTTCACGCTGAAGTTGCTAGAGGGCCAGACCATTATAAATAGGGAAGCAGGTTGTTTACCACGACAGAAGTGATTTTTTTCTGAAGATAACGCGATTTAACAGCCTTTGAACATGGGATATATTTGAATGTGAGTGGCCAGATTATTATGACCACCCCATCAGTGCTTCGTTGGGCCACCTTTTGCCTTCAATACTGCGGCGATTCTTCTTGACATTGACTCCACGAGACGTTGAAAGGTGATGCGAGGAATCTTGACACCAACAGTGCCTGATGAATAGCACTGTCCAGTTCTGTGAGATTTGATGGTTGTGGAATCAACTGCCTGATGGCTCTTTTAACTTCGTCCTTGGATTGAGATCTGTTGATTGTGGGGGCCACCTAAGCAAGGTAAAGTCTCCCTCATGTTCTTGAAACCACTCCTGCACAATACGAGCACTGTGGCATGGCACATTGTCTTATTGGAAGAAGCCATCCCCATTGGGATACGCCATCAACATGATAGGATGAACTTGATCAGCAATGATAGTTAAGTATGTTGTGCTATTCAGACGTTGTTCCACACGAATTAAAGGGCCCAAATCATGCCAGGAAAACATGCCCCAAACCATAACACTGCCCTCACCAGCTTGAAGGGTTGTCT